TGCTGGTCATCCTCGACCGGTCGATTGACCTCGCCACGCCACTGGCCCACTCGTGGACGTACCAGGCGCTGGCCCATGACGTACTGGACATGAAGCAAAATCAGGTGATCATTGAGGAGAGCGCTGGAGCTACCGGAGCTTCTGGTCCTAGCAAGAAAAAGTCCCACGACCTCAATCCGCAGGACAAGTTCTGGGCACAGCAGAAGGGCAGTCCCTTTCCGCAGGTGGCCGAGGCGATTCAGGAGCGGCTAGATGTGTACAGGTAAGCTAATTGGTACTTTGTTTTCTAAACAAAAGTTCTTGGCTCTAAAATTCTTTTTCCCTAAAACCAGAAACAACGAGGACGAGGTGAAGCGCCTCAAGTCGGAGATGGGCCTCGACAACACCATACCCGACCAGGCGATCTCGCTGCTGACGGACAACACCGCCAAGCTGACCAATGCGATCAACACGCTGCCGGAGCTGCTGGAGACGAAGCGGCTGATTGACCTGCACACCACCATTGCCAGCGCCATTCTCGAGCAGCTGAAGGCGCGCAAGCTGGACGTCTACTTCGAGGTGGAGGAGAAGCTGACGGCGAGCGTCAGTAGCGGCGGCGGTGTCGGCGGCAGTGGCGTCGGCTCTTCTCGCGGCTCCGCCACCAGCCACCTGGAGCACAAGGCGGCCATCCTCGAGTTGATTCGCGACCCGGCGGCGGGCACGGCGGAGGACAAGCTCCGCCTCTTTCTCGTCTACTACCTCACCCACCACCAGCTGCCGGAGGCGGAGGTGGAGACCTACCTGGGCGAACTTCGAGAGGCAGCGGGAGGGGGCGTCACCGGGGAGCAGTTGGCCGCATTCGAGTACCTCCGCCGGTACAAGAAGTTTATGCACCCGACGTCCTCTACGGCTACCACCTCAAACAGCGCCTCCACCGCCGCGGACAGCCTCTTTCAGTCGCTGGGCGGGGGGACGAGGACGGTGAGCATGTTCAGCAAGCTGATGTCCCAGGGGTCGCAGTTTGTGATGGAGGGCGTGAAGAACCTGGTGGTGAAGCGGCACACGCTGCCGGTGACGCGGGTGGTGGACGCGCTGATGGAGGCGCGGGCCAACCCGGAGACGGACGACTTTCGCCACTTTGACCCGAAGGTGCTGGCCAGGGCGGCCAATCCCTATGGCGAGGATTCCTCATCCTCATATTCCCCCTCTTCAACGTCGGGAAAGACGACCTTCCAAGATGTGAGTAGAACCTTTTTTCTCTTTTTAGGCTTTTAGTTTAGGCTTTTAGCTTAGGTCAAGNTCGGGAAAGACGACCTTCCAAGATGTGAGTAGAACCTTTTTTCTCTTTTTTAGGCTTTTAGTTTAGGTCGAACATGTGTTGCATTTTATTTGAGAGCTGCTGCCCTTTAATTGTTCGTTTGCATGTTGAGTGGTGGTGGTGGTGGTGAGGGCAGCTGACAAGGTGGCATCATCAACAACTGCTGCTGCTGCTTGTTTGGTGTGCCATACACCTCACCTTTCAGCTTGCTCAGCTTCTCAGCTCACCACCACCACCACCCTCATACCTGTGCATTTTATGGCCCTGCAGCCAATTTGCCAGGCAGATTCTTCTCTCTCTCTTCGCTGCTAAAACACTCTCAGGGCTTTCACTCGCTCGCTCGCTCGCACATTCTGTGTGTTTGACTTGGGTAATTTATGATAAATGTAGACCTCCCTGAAGGGTCAATTTCTCGATCATCAGCCTGAGAGAGTGAGTGAGGGAAGACAATGCGAGGCTGAGTAGGAGGACGATGGAGAAGTAGAAGAAGCTGCTGCGGATGATTGCAGTCGCCTATATCTGACAGGACTTATGTTGTTGGTGTAGTATATTGCGCACCAGCCATTGTCTGCTCCAGTGAGAGAGGAAATGATTTGCAATAATCGACGACGATGAGGATGATGGTGATGAGGAGGACGACAAAAAGATACTCAGCAGCCGCTGCCTCGTTTACGGGCAGAATTTACCTCTTATTGCCTTCAATTTCCTCTTTGCATTTTCTCTTTTTCATCTTTTTTGTCTACGTTTTTTTATTCGCGATACTAATTGCAAACAGCAGTGGCAGTGGCAGTGGCTGCTGCCGCAAATTAGCTAAACACTGCAAACACTGCAAATTCGTGCTGCGGTCGGGTGATTCAGTTGATCAAATGAATCGCTTCACTTTATCACCTCTCTTTCTGCCGGGTCTTTCATTCGACTCTCTCTTTCTCTATTGAACTTCCATTCCGGCAACTAGCCGCATCATTAGTCATCGTCATGGCAATTAGAGCTGCGGCTGAAGATGACTGACTGACTGTGCTCTTCCATTCAGTTAGAGAAAGGGAGCTCGCATTTTCAGACGAACTGCTGCTGTTGGTGATTCATTGACTCTTTGCCAACTGATGCTGTTTCTGCCGTTCTTTTTGTACTCTGGCAAACAGAACTCAGTTCTCTCAGTAGCGCAGCGTGCGTACGTGCAGCGTTTCTTTTTGTTCATCTTCATCGCTCAATCGACATCATCTGAGTTTCGCGAGAATCAGACTGTTCTGACTGGGCTAGGCTAGCTCGAGCCAGCAAGCGAGACTGCACGACGCTGCTGCGTGAATAGAGTGGGGAGCACACAGTGTGTTCGATTCAGTTTGGTTCACTTCAATTGACTGAGACTGAGGATGTGCAGTAGTGAGCTGAAGTCGGCCAGTACCATCAACTGTTGCTGCTGTTGATGGTACTGGCCACCGGCAAAGGCCACGGCCAATGCTGCTGCTGCTGGGAAGATCCGTGAGAGAAATTGTTTGCATGCCAAGCTGAGAGGACTGTGCTTAATTTTCCAACACGATCACCAGTTGCTGCTGTTGCTGCTGCCGAGTGACCGCAACCCTCGATGCATTCGAGAACTGCTGCTGCTGCTACCTGGCCACTATCTAATCTCTGCAGTGGTCAAACACACACACTGACTTTGGCTGCCACCGTGTGGGCCTTGTGATAGTGGTGGTGGTGGCAATTGATAGGTTTGCCTGGTAGAGGAGCACAAACTGTGCTACCTT